GGCTCAGGACTAGCGTAGGAGTTGACATTTCCACATAACGTTTGACGAAGTCCTGGCTTGGAAACCTCCAGGGTAGTAGAAAGGAGTAGTTAATGGTCCTTAGGTGACAAAGTATGGTGGATGGATTTTCTACCTATCGCTCCGTCCTCCGCACCCCTACTGTACGTTGTTTTGAGAGCAGAAACGGCAAGAAAAGATAAGTCTACGTCGAGCCGCGGGAGATGCCTATAACTTCGCAGACGTTATGGCAATGTGCAGTACTTCTCTGCCCCTTCGTTTTGCGCCTTTCCAGTTCGTGCATTACGTCTTCTTCCCTAGCCGACAGCCCGTGTTTGTTGAGCCATCCATCGTAATCGCACATGGATTGTTACGCTCCCCGCCACCTTGCAAGCCGATTCCTGCCATGAATCGCTCTCTCCGCGCGCTTTTCCAGTCGCGTTGGTAGGGGCTCACCAGAACGGGGAAAATCAGATTGTTTAGTCCCTTAATCAGTACACCCTCTCTCTGCTTTCTTTCCCTACCTTCGTCCTTCGATTTTACCCTCTTTAATTTTACTTTTTCTACCCCAGGAGTTGTAAACCCACCCCTTCTGTTACCCTCCTTTCCTTTAACTCCGCCCGAGCCTGCTTCTGTCAATTCTACCCGCTCTCTCCAGACTTTATTGATTTACTTTTCTCGCGTTACCGCCTTGTGCCCAGGATATTTCCTGCCAATAAATCCGTGCACCGAGTATTATACAACTACCAAGGATGCTACCTGTTGGTTGGAGCTATCGTGGTCTTGGCTTGTAGCCACCTCTCAACATGTCGCGCTCCTCAGCAGGATTTGCAGACTTCTTCCCAACCGCACCGTCCGTCCTCCAGCAAAAGCGCAAGACCATCCGGGAGCGGCCTCGCTCCGAGGCCCATCCGGAACACGACCATAGCGATGAAGGGCGTGCGCTTCCTGAAGAGCCCAAGGCAATCCTTGAGTTGACACCGGGTCTTTACGCGGAGGAACAGAATTTGCCGACTGTCAAAGGTGATGGACTTGCAAGTTCTGACAGTGTGAGCGTTTCGGCTGCCCGCCCATCGACACATACGCATAGCACGGCATATGGGAATGAAGCGCGTCTCGATACGCTTACGCCACTCACTAATGCGGAGTCGTCGCCCGCTCAGAGGCTCAGTCCATCTCACATAAGGATAGCCAACGGGATCGAAGATAGTTCAGGTACCATGAAGACCGACGACATAAAGCCCGCCATGACGCCCCTGCAAACCCCACCAACACCCCGATCGCAGAGTCGCACTTCTGGAAACGTGAGGGGCTGGAAGTTAGTCTATGACCCAGATTCAGAGAAGCGGATATCATCGAAGGAGAAGCGAAGGAAAGCGCGATATGTGGATATAGTGCCTAATGGGCAAGATGATCGACCAGCAGACCCTCGTTTAAAGATATCCAATTATTCGCGAGGTGGTGGCTGCAAGCAGAAGACCAAGTTTCGGCCAGCTCCTTACTCATTGAAACACTGGTCATACGACGCTTCGACAACTATTGGCCCTGGACCTCCGGTACAGATAGTGGTCACCGGGTTCGATCCATTGACCCCAATCGCCCCAATAAATGCTTTGTTCTCGAGTTTCGGGGAGATTGCTGAAATCAACAACCGCACCGATCCAATAACCGGTAGATTTTTGGGGATATGTTCAGTCAAATATAAAGATAGCGCATCTTTCAGAGGAGGCGGGCCCGTTCTCGCGGCGAACGCAGCCAGGCGAGCCTATTATGAGTGCAAAAAAGAGCAACGGATTGGAACGCGCAGAATCAGAGTCGAGCTAGACCGGGATGGTATCGTCTCGGCAAAGATAGTAACAAGGGCAGTCGACTCTCAGAGGATGGGGGACAGGAACAACCTTCTGAGTGCAGAGGAACCTAAAACAGGCGTCTCGGCAAAGAATAATGAGCCTCCACCGACGGCTCCCAAGGGCCCTTCTGGAAGATCCCAAATGCGCCCTACGGTCCCAGTTCCGGAAGGCCCGAGGGCAAGCTTTCTGAAGCCTGTTGTACCATCACTGGTGGAAGAAATACCTATACTGAGTCAGATCAAGCGTGACCCATATATATTCATCGCACACTGTTACGTACCGGTCCTCAGTACCACCGTTCCGCATCTGAAGAAAAGGCTCAAACTATTCGATTGGAAAGACATACGTTGCGATAAGACAGGGTACTACATTGTGTTTGAGAATTCAAGGCGCGGCGAAGAAGAAACCGAAAGATGCTACAAGATGTGCCATATGAAACCTTTGTTCACATACATTATGAACATGGAGAGTCAGCCCTATGGGAATCCTAATTACGAACGAAGTCCAAGTCCCCAGAGACTGCAGGCCGAACAGCGAGAGCGAGCCGAAAAGGACAGGGTGAAAAGGGAAGCAGAGTTGGACATCGAAGAAGAGAAAAGACAACGTGCCCTGGATCTGGACCCTTGCAGAGAGGTGGTGGCGATAATAATACGGGACCTACGAGACAAATTACTTGAAGATGTGAAATCTCGAATTGCAGCACCGGCCTTGTATGACTACCTGGATCCAGTTCGACATGCTACAAAGAGGGAGAGGCTGGGAATTCCTGAACCGGAGGGGGCTAAAAGGCCTATGTTCCGCATCGACCTCGACAGTTCAGCTGGCACACCTGACTCACGCTCTGACTTGTCAACCAGTAGGAATCCTTTGGGTTCGTCTGGTCTGAATATACTTGCTCTTCCACGGATCAGAAAGGCACATCGACTAGATCGCACGAACGCTGCGTTCTTGGATGAAAGAAGAAAACAGCCCTTACGAAAGAAGGAAGTAAGACCACTTTACCATCGTCTCCAGCAACTACACGATGTGGACGATTCAGACGATGAGCAAAGGACACCCTTTACCAGAGACACTGAAGATTTAGACAGTCGTGCCCCGAGCCGGATGAGTTCTGAGACCTCGGATTCAGAGGAAGACTCGGATCGGATCGGTTCTGAAACGTTGGAAGTTCCTGTTGCCGAAAGGCAGACCGATAGTGATAGGTCTCACGATATAGACATCACGAGAGATGATGAATCTGGAGTTTCGCCAAGCGAGGCTCCCGAGCAGGTCCCTGACCGACTCCAATCTTCATCACGCAAAAGAAAGGTGGATGATGACCGAGCAAAGGCACGGAAGAAACAGAAAGGAGGCGACGAATGCTTCGATATGGATGATGCGGCAGGATCTGGGGAGGACCAAGACATGGCATGCTCCCCATCTCGGTCAGATACCATCCAGGATGTCATCGCAGCGGCAGGTGAACCATCTGTAACTGGCACGGATTCCTTGGTCTCCCATGGTCAATTGGCAGGGCATGGTCAGAAAGATGATGCAGTGGCACTCATGGACTCATGGGGTGCTGATGTTGAGTACAAAGGTCTCGGCAAAGACCATCGCCATCTTGTATCCCAAGTTGGTAGTTTTGAGCATGGCAAGCAGACTGAAGAGCCTAGAACGGAGATTGAATGGCGAGTATCGAATGACGAGCCTCGCTCAACGGTCGATGACGACGAATCGATTGTGCTGGATCTCGACGGTTGGCAGAATTTGGTCAAGGATGAAGAGGATCTTTGCTTTCTTCGTGATGTCTTACGAGAATTCTCGAGATCTAATGTTGGCAACCTTTCAGCTTGGGCTTGGAGACAAAAGGAGATTAAGGCACTTAATCGCCCTGAAGAGTCTGGTCCGGTACGCGAGGAGACCGTCATTCCCGGTTACTACGTTTCAAACACGACTGGGGCAGCAAGAACTGAAGGAAGAAAACGGATCTTGGAGTCGGAGAAATCGAAATATCTGCCGCACAGGATCAAAGTTCAAAAGGCCCGTGAAGAGCGAGAAGCTAGGGCGAAGAGCGATCCACATGCTGTTGCTGCAGAAGCCGCAAGGATTGCTGCAGCAAAAACGATTTCGAAGTCCACTTCCCGTTCAACAAGGGTTAACAATCGCCGCCTCATTGCTGATATCAACGCTCAAAAGCAGGCTCTTCCAACTCAGAGCGGCGATGGAGATGTTCTCCGGTTCAACCAGTTGAAGAAACGGAAGAAGCCAGTTCGTTTTGCTCGATCCGCCATCCATAATTGGGGCCTCTATGCAGAAGAGAACATATCTGCGAACGATATGATCATTGAATATGTGGGTGAGAAGGTCCGGCAGCAGGTTGCTGACATGAGAGAACGGCGTTACCTGAAAAGCGGAATCGGTAGTAGTTACCTTTTTCGTATCGATGAAAACACAGTTATAGATGCGACAAAGAGGGGTGGTATTGCCAGGTTTATCAACCACAGCTGTACGCCGAATTGCACGGCCAAAATAATAAAGGTCGATGGCAGCAAGCGAATCGTCATCTATGCCTTACGAGACATCGAAAGGGGTAAGTGGGCATGGCATGTATTGGTCAAATTGAAAAGATACTAACATACTCCATAAACAGACGAAGAGCTGACATATGACTACAAATTTGAGAGAGAGTGGGATAGCGATGACAGAATCCCGTGCCTCTGTGGTTCGACCGGGTGTAAAGGTTTTCTCAACTAAGGCTTCCACTGAGGTCCCGGAATCCATGTCAAAAGAACTTCCTCCCACTACTCTTTGTCTCTCACTCTCTCCCTCTCACTCTCTCCCTCCCCCACACAAACACTCTCGCTCTCTCCCTCCCTCTCTTACTCTCTTACTCTCTCTCCTCCTCTCCCGTTCCATACCCAGCCACTCAAATCTCGATACCTTCCTCAATCTTGGTCTGCAATTCCATCTATAGATAGATGCATTAGTCTGATGGCGTTCATTTGGAATTGGTCGAGAGAAGGACCAGCATCCGGCTGGTAGGATTGTATTTTATAACAACGAAGTGCGTATCTCATGATATGAGTTGACCGGCTGCAAGGCATTCGTGGGACTCCATGTCCCAAATTAACTTGCGATCCTTTATTTACGTAGAGTTGACAGCCGGTTGGCAGTTTTGGTAGATGCAAAGCCGACTGACGGAAGGTCACAAATATTTTTGTCAAAAAGAGACCAACAGATTCCTGGACAGGCATCTCGGGTTCCAGTGACTGGACTCACTTGAACTCACACCTTCGTATATTTAGACTGCGCGGGGTCAGCAAAGTCAAGGACAAGTTTAACGGAAAGGAATATCAGACCTAAATGACTGGGGAGAAGAAAGTTAGCGATTCCTTCCTTGATCATATATTCATGGCCGCAATTTCCGCAACACAATCTTCCTTCAACAACCTGTGTTTCTAACAAGAGCCTGTGGAGTTCCTTTAGAAGCTGCTCATCTTTAAGCGCATCACCTTCCGGCTTAGTGTCTGGGATTTTGGGAAAACCGAGCTATTTCCGGGTGAGTTCAAACAGTCTATAAAGCAGCATATGGCATGATTTGCATTGGACCAGGAATGTACACGCACCTCATTTGCCATGACTCGCAGCGCTTCCCAATCAATCCGAGGAATAATATTGAGTATGAACTCTGGCTGGAACTCCAGTTCCTGCAATTCTAATTCAGCATCTCGAAAATGCAGCGGATATGATGCTGCTGCTGTTTTGCACCCCTTCACAGCACAGGTCAGGAAGTTGACAGTGATGAGCTTCATTTCGAGTAGAGGTATTAACCCAGAATGAAGAAAGTGGGCGACGGTTCTACATTTTCCTTCAGAGTTCGCTTTGGATATATTGGGTGGGAAATTTTTAGTGTCTTACGTTATCGGTAATTTTCATACTTTGGCTGCCGTTTCTCAAGCCCCAGCGAAATTTAGATTAACATACTACGAATCAGGGGGTAGTTACTAGACAAGCACATGCCTCTGAAGAAATCAAAGATTTGAAGATGAAATAAATCAGACTTGAGAACAACGTCAGCTGTCTTCAACGGCGCAGAGAATCACTGGTATGGTATGATGCCGTGAAATCATGTTTCATATGGGGTAATGAAACCCTCCTACCCCGCTCATTCCTGGGATGATATCAGGTAAGATAGAACTCAATTTAGGTATCAAACTGTAGAGATTTTGAGAAATCTAAGACCACTGCAAATTCCGATTTGACTGATATAATTTAGGCTAGTACAAATTGTTTATTATATATGTGAACAGCTTTTTAGACATATTCGTGATATTTTGCCTACATCTCTGTAACTCGTTCACTTGATTATAACCTCCACAAGATCGCTGTCCATGAGCTCGTAGTCTGCAAGATAAGCATTATCATCTAAGCGGTCACCGTCAAATACAAGTTGTATATCACGGGTTGCGGGTATCTGCCTAGCAACACGGAAGGTCGCAACTAGCTCTGATACCTGCATCTCCAGGTTCAGCTCTACCTTCAAATCACCAAACCCGGGACACTTTAATAGTATCCTGTCTGGGGACGAAGTTGCTCCATTCCAGCTCGTATATTCCGGACTGGACTTGGCGTCAGTCACAGTCTGTGAGTGTGAAAGATCAGCGTTGAGAAGGTCTTCTGTAGAAGCTTCCATATGAACTTGTATATCCTCCACATCTAAGTAGAACGTGTCATGTCCGTTGAAATTACCGCTTTTTGCATGGATTCCCAGGCTTCGGCATGTAGTAACATCAAACAGTCTCTTACCCTTCCAGGTCAGGAAGACCGATTCTTGCATTTCTTTGGTGAATTTCTGGCGATTACACCATGCTAGACGGACATCCTTTAGGGGTTGGTTCATTTTTCGGCGGACAATCAATGGTTTGGTATTTGGGATTTTTGAGGTAATGAGGATCTGAACTATTGCTTGATTATGGGCAAGACTGTGATTATGGGGTCTGCCAGTCTCATCAACTTCTCGAGCATTTTGGAAACGTGACTGCTGCACGGAAGCAATCTTGTTCTCTTTGACTGCTTTTGTAACTTCTGAATGTGCACGGATTGCCCCAACTTGAGTAAGCTCCACATCAGGTAGTGACTCACAACATTGGTCGTCAGTCTCTGTTGTAATTCCAACTGTGATACCACGGGTTGAGACTCCCGCGGATGGACCACAACTATCGCCATTGTTGTTGGTCTCTTGTAAGTGCTCACAAGAAGCATTATAATCCAATGGTTGTTCCGCATTGTGTAGTGCTTCATTGTGAGTGAGGGCCCCTAATGAACTTTCTGCGGAGGGCTGTCTGCAGGAGAGACGTCGACGTTTAGAGTTTGTGTGCTCTGATTCCTGCTCTGATTCCTGCTTTGGTTCCTGCTCTGGTTCCTGCTCTGGTTCCTCCTTTTGTTCCTCCTTTGGTTCCTGCACTACAGACAGTCGGCTAGCACGAGCTTTCCGGTTGGCAGTGATAATGTCATTATAGACTTGACCAGCATGACGGTAGAAATTCGGGTCTGTTCCCTCATCTCCCCTGCTTGCCCATGAAGGCTTTTTGAAAAACGAACGCATTTGAGTCGGACGTGGTGAAAGGTATTGATGAATGCAAATTCGGATATCGCAATGGAAATAAAATGAATCCGAATAGTTGACCAGATGCAGTCATACAGAATACTTGATACAACAGTACTCAATGTTACAGTGTTACAGCTTACGGAGAGGCACGTGTTTCATGACCCCAGCCTTCGTCTAACCCCTTTCGGGCTAAGACTGATGATAACCCCCAATCACTACTAAATCAGTGAAATTGCCGATTACGATCACCTAGCGCCTGTTGAGCATTTCCAGCCCTTATTCAAAGCTTAGAGATAGGAAGAGAGAAAGGACAGCAAAATGGAGAACGGTGCCTCATCTGATGGCAAGGATCCCTCAGCTTTTCTGGGTGAAATCATTGGCGCCCCAGTTACTGTTAAATTGAACTCTGGCGTTGTCTATAAAGGTGAACAATCATCTTCTGCTTTGTTCTACCTACCGTTTCTGCCAAAATCGAGTCTTTCTCCCCTGGTACAGGAGAAGAGTACGATTCTTATGGGGGACAGGAGATATATACAAACGAAGAATAGGAATATTAAACGCTAACGAACTCTTCAGGGGAACTTCAATCGGTAGATGGCTATATGAATATCGCTCTGGAGAAATCTGAGGAGTTTGTTAATGGAAATCTGTCCCGCAGTTACGGGGATGCCTTCATTCGCGGAAATAACGGTTTGTTATGTCACACCTAAGGAGATGAACATGTCTAACTATTTCTCTTTGACTCTCATAGTGCTGTATATATCCGCGCATTAATACTATGAATTTCTATTAGCGACTCTTTTCTATCAATTGGATGACCAGCGCAGATAGTCAATCCAAGTGGTTTTTGTTTGAGCCTCTGAACGAGGGTTTCCAGCAGCGGAAACAATCTCTTATTTTAAGACCCATGTCAAATAAAAGGATAGTTGTACTTTAGAATCTGCACTGCTTCCATTGCGCAAACCAGGAATCGCTCATGGAGGGGTAACCGTCTGACTAGAGGCTGCTTCATAAGGTACGGCAGTGACCTAGGCACTGTGCCCCACCTAACGGTTAAAAGTGCGATTCTGGATTGAGTGCTGTGTTACAGACCAGCAAATTAGGCTCCGAGTTTCAAATTTTCTAATCATCCAGCCAACGTCACATTCGATCTTACTTCTATCTTTTCGTACTCGGTCTTGCAGAGCTTACTTTCTGCTTAATTTTTAAAAGTGTGCCCTCGCAAGGAACGAACAGCGTCCAGAAGTCTTGAATCAATTCGCCTCTTTTGAATTGAACAGAATCATGACTTTACAGGCAATCAGATATAACGAGGGCAATCTGTCCATCATAGATCAACTGCAGCTTCCATATGTGGAACAATACATAACGATAAAATCAAGTGAAGAAGCATGGCACGCAATAAAAGATATGCGTGTAAGAGGAGCACCCGCTATTGCCATTGTAGCGGCCCTCGCTCTTGCATCTGAACTTCATGGCCTTATGGCATGCAATGGCATTCCCTCAGAAGCCCCAGAGGTTCAGGCTTTCATTATGGACAAGCTAGATTATCTTGTGAGCAGCAGACCCACGGCAGTAAATCTGGCCGATGCTGCTCGGAAGCTTAGGGCCGTGGCGAGTGATCATACACAAAGGCCTGGATCGACTGGGCGCAGCGTCGCTACTGCTCTGATACAAGCAGCAGAGGAAATGCTGGTGAAGGATATTGAGGACAACAAAAACATAGGAAAGCATGGTGCCCAATGGATCATGGCCAATGCCGTGGGCAAGCCGAAGGCTACTGTTCTCACACATTGCAATACGGGGTAAGTACGACCAAGCTCAACTGCAGGTGATTCGATCCTAACCCGCCGTCAGCTCCCTTGCAACATCAGGTTACGGCACTGCGCTCGGAGTTATCCGCGCCCTTGCGTCTACAGACAATCTGAACCGTGCTTACTGCACCGAGACACGACCCTACAATCAAGGATCTCGGTTGACTGCGTTCGAATTGGTCCACGACCGTCTCCCCGCCACCCTCATAACAGACTCTATGGCCGCTGCTCTACTTGCGAAGTCTGGTACTCAGGTAGATGCCATCGTAGTAGGAGCGGATAGGGTGGCTGCGAACGGAGATACGGCGAATAAAATTGGCACTTATGGCCTCGCTGTGCTTGCAAGGTATCACGGTGTGAAGTTCCTCGTGGCCGCACCGCTTACTACAATTGATCTGGCCACCCCGTCCGGTCATGAAATCATAATCGAGGAACGTGCGGCCTCCGAAGTCACAACTGTCAGAGGACCGCGTGCCAACAAATCTACCAATGGTATTGAATTAGAAACTGTGCGCATAGCCGCCGATGGCATCGATGTCTGGAACCCGGCCTTTGATGTCACACCGTCCACACTTATTGACGGTATCATCACAGAGAAGGGCGTGGCAGAGAAGGACGCCGATGGCCAGTTTCACTTGGAGGACTTGTTTCGCAACTCCTCCTCAACATGAGCTTGTGTCGATGTCACCTCGTCTTGATTATAGCATTGCCCATTCGTCTGCTCGGTTTCTGGGTGCTTTTCAAACGCGTTCAATAACTCCTCTATTTTGTTTTCCAGGTTGTCCAAATGATTTTCCAGCGCCAGAGCTGTCATTTCGCCACTGGGACCATCCTGTTAGGTGAAAACAAGGGTTCGTTGTCTTGAGGCATACCTTGTAATATCCTTGAAAGCCTGTTACTAGTGATCAGCATCTTCGTGTTGAATATAGCAATACCAAGGCGCTCAAAACGTATGTATCCATTGAACTGCGATTACTGGTCATGCTGGGATCAACTTACTTGGGCGATGGTATCATTATGTTGGTTACTAGAAGGCATGGCTGCTGTGCGGGTATCTTGGTGGGTGATAGCTCAATAATTTGAAGGCCGACAAGAACTTGGGTGCTAGTCTAGAGTATATAATAATGTTCTGCCAGTCAATTCCGCCATGTTTGTCCTAACTCCATTTCAGCAGCCTTCTAGATTAGGACAGCAATGGTCATATGACTTTGCATACCGCCTCTGCAGTCTTGTAAAGGCAGCTCTGTAGAGTCTGTATATATAATATACAATGACCCACGTATGGTTCCTGGATGGAGATTCTCAGATTATATTGAGTTCGGTATTGTTTCTCATAGAAAAGATCATTATGATCGGAAGTTTGTCAGGAAGAAAAGCCCTGCAGGCCCTGGCAATTATGACAACCTGAAGACTACTACAATAATAAATTCTAAAATAAGTTAATAATTTTTTATATTTTTTAATTAATAAATTTATTATTACTCTAGGGACAATCTATTCAGAATTAACTAAATTATTATATATATAAATTATAGAATTTATTATTAATGTGATAGAATAACCTAGCTATCGGGGCCTTGGGCATCGAAATGATGTATTACAGTGGTTATAAAAGTTATAAGATTATTAATAATAGTTCTATATCTTCCTGATATCTATAAGATATTAATTTTTTATAATAAGTTACTGATTTTTTAAGAATTGATTTATTTTATAGATATAGGCCATCTTTATTATTATTAAATTAATTTATTATATTTAATAATTAATTTCTTATTTAATCAACAGGTTTTTTATCCTGATAAGTAGATTTTATTATATTTTAATTTTTCTTATTTCAATTATTTAAGGAAGATAGCACCTCTTAAATATAATAAAAAAATATTTAATAATTATATTAATTTTAAATTATTATTAAATACAGTTCCTACTACTGAGGAAATCTAATAGTTAAAAATTATATTTATTAATTAAAATAGATTATTAATTTATAAAGGAGAATAGTCTATTTCTAAAAAAATAATTTTCTAGATAAAATATCTTCTAAATACTATTAATTTTTTTTACATTAGAAAAAAATAAGAAAAAGATTAAATTAAAAATATTTTTTATTTTATTTTAAATTTTAATCTTTAAAAATATTAAGAATAGATTACTGATCTAAAATATATATTTTAAAGAATTTAAGAAATATTTATTAAAGAAATATAAGATTTTTATTATTATTAATTATATAAATCTAGTATACAGGCAGAGATGATATTATTTTATTAATAATAAAAATTTAAGAGTAAAATAATTTTTTAAAAAATTATAATCTTAATTTAAGAATTAGATTCTTACTTTAATTTATAATATTATTATTTTTTAATTAAATATTATAATCTAATTTAAATAAACTTATTAATAATATAGTTAAAATCTGAAAGAGTTTTATATTTATTTTAATATTTTAAAATAATATTTTTTTATTAAACTAAGAAAGAAAAAATTTTATTTTATTTTATTAAATTATTATCTGATTTTAATTATTATATATAAAAATATATTTCTTATCTACCAGAGAAATAAGATGAAATAATAATTATTATTATTTATTATTATAAATTTATAAAATAATAAAAGAAAATATAAATAAAATAATAATTAATTTATTAATTATAAATTATATAAGCACTTCTAAAGTTATACTAATTAATTAATTAAAAAAGATATATTAAATTATAAAAAGAATTTTATTAAAAAAATAATAATTAATTTATAATATTATATATATAAAATAATACCCAACATCTTGCAAACTGATATTTTATTAAAAATAAAAAAATTTAATTTATTAAAATTTATTAATATTTATCAGATTCTAAGAGAAAAGTGAAAAAGTTAAAATAAATTTTATAATTTTAATTTTTTTATTTAAAGTAAAGATTATTTATTATTTTTATATTTTTATTTATATTTAAAATAATCTTAGAATCTTTACGGATCGAGACAGTTATATAGAAATAAATATTACTAATTATTAATTTATTAAGATTTATAATTTCTAATATATTTTAATTACTCTATCTAGAATTAAAGCTATTAATTAAATTCTTATTTTTATTTATAATATATAAAAAATTTTTATTATTATTAATTTATAAAGAAATATCTATATTTTTAAATAATATTATATATGTGGAAGCCATTCAAATGGTCAAATTCGGTGCTATCTAACAAGAATTTCTAGGGTAAGAAAAGAAAAGGAAGAAACTCAAGAAGGAATATATGAACATATAAAGATAAATAAGCTATATAAGATAAATAAATAAAATAAATAAAATAGATATTATATGATCTAGAAATATTATTTATTATTATATTACTTTTCTGTTTAAGTCTGGCTGCCCTTAACTAGTAGTAGATTATTTTTCTTATAATTAGATATAAATTTATCAGTTTTTATAATTATTAATTATTATAGAAGACACTTGGGAGGTCTAAAATAAATAAAATATTTTATATAATAATTTTAAAGTTAGAAAGAGATATTCTTGAAATTCTCTACTAGATATTAGATATAATTTATTATATTAAATATTAGTTACTTAATTTTATACTGGAGGCGACTGTACTGCAGATAGTTTATTAAAATATTTTTTATTTTTTATTTTATTTAATTATTAATTTTAATAAATATAATAGTATCTTAAATCTATTTAAATAATAAATTAAATATATTATATAGGCAGAGCTTTTTAGAATAAAAAATAAAATATATTTATATATATATTCTCAGACAGATAAATCTTATATATATTATTTATTTTATTAATAATAAGTACAGGGCTGTATTAACTTTCAGATAACTTTTATAAAAATTAATTTTATCTTTAATTATAGATATTAATAAA